CATCTTTCATTATATGAAAAAATGTCCTGGCTCTTCCAAGCTTTATAATGGCAGTGAATGGTGGTCAAATAAAGCAAAATAAAGTCGGTCCATCCATCCTTATATATGCTTACGCTACGCCTACATCACCCACTGGAACACCACTCTCTCGTGAACGCGCGTACGACAGTTAGCGGGAGCTAGAGATGACGGTTTATAAAGTTTTAAATATGGATATTTTTCTTACACAAATGCATCAATTGCTTCAGGAGGCCTTTATTAACCCCCCGGAGTCGTGTGGAGCACTTTTTATGATGGATGGACACACTTTATTGGACTTTAAAATCTCGACCACCATTCAGTGCTTGGAAGAGCCAGGACATTTTTTCATATAACTCTGATTATATTCATCTGAAAGAAGAAAGCCATATACACCTAGGATGGCTTGAGGGTGAGTAAATCATAATTTTCATTTTTAGGTGAACTATCCCTTTAATACTATTTTCAAATTTACTGTAAATTTCCGTTTTATTTGCATAAATTACTCCATCATCATGCAATAAAAAAAATATTATATATTGATTTATTTACTTATTTACAGTTAGCTATTTTCTTGTAGTCTTAGTTTTCATTTACTTTAATATTTAGTATATTTCAATTCGATGTTTTTAAAACAATTGTTTTCATCAATTCACTATCAATTCAATACCACTTTTATTGAGACAGATGACTCCATAATCATTTTGAAAAAATTTATATTTATTTATTTGTCAGTTAGTTTTAGCTTTCTGTAGTTTTAGTTTAAGTATTTATTTCTAATTCACTAACAAGTAAAATAAACTGTCAAACTGTTATCATTAATTCACTTTAAATGATCATGTGACTACAAAACTATTTATTTAAGTTACTTTTAGTTTTTTTTATTTACTTTGATATTTATTTTATTTCCTATTAACAAAAATGTTTTAAAATCAATTGTTTTTATCAGTTTACTTTAAATTTCTATCTATCTATCTATCTATCTATCTATCTCAGTTAGTTATAGGTTCTTGTCTATTATTATATCTAATTCCTACTAACAAAACTTTTAAAATATGTTTTCATCAATTCACTTTAAATTTCAGTTTTACATTTTAAATTTGACAGTTTTACACAGACAACCCCATGATCATGTGACTAAAATGTGATTATTTATTTATTTATTCCTTTAAAAAACTTGTATTTCTGTTAGCTGCTAAGGCAACATTTCTCATTTTTGTTTAGTTTAACTTGAAGTACTAAAATACAGTGGGTACGGAAAGTATTCAGACCCCCTTAAATTTTTCACTCTTTGTTATATTAACAAAGAGTGAAAAATTTAAGGGGGTCTGAATACTTTCCGTACCCACTGTAACTAAAACTAATAACAATTCATAAAAACTATGAAGACAAAAAAAATGTATAAACTGACAAAAACACAACAGAATGACTTAAACTTTTAACTAAAATCAAAAATACAGAAAATACAAAAAATAAAATCGAACTCAAAATATGAACAAAGACTATAATAGTATCTCAATGATAGAAAAATAACACAGGTGTGATCTCACCTGTAGCGATGCCATCAAACAAAGAGAGGACTCTGATTGGCTGCCTCTTCTCTGCTGGTATTGGTGAATACAACTTCAGCGGTTCCTGAGGAAGAGAAAGGACAGATTTTTCTTTTTAAAGTGGTCATAAAATGCATTTTTTAAATTATTTTTTGTTTCCTGAGGTGCACTTATAATCTTAGTATGTTTTTTAATTACATTCATAATTTAGTTATAAACGGCCATTTTCTACCATGAATTTAGCCTTTGATTTGGATGCTCCATTAAAAGGGGCGTGTCTGCTGTAAGACTTCAATGTAAACGCCCACTGCTATAATAAAAATAATAATAAAGTTTTATTTCTATAATGTCTTTCCAGTACTCAAGGACACTTTACAGTAAAGATACAATTAAAAAAGGAAAACAGCAATATAATAAACAAAAATGACAAATTAGAATGAAACACAATGAGAAAACAGGCCGCAAAATACGAATGATAACATTCCGAAAACAAAGGGATGTAGGACATAACTTACAAATTAACAAATTAATTTTATTAGGTTGGAACAGCAGCTATGCTAATTATGTCTCTATTTGTTTCTCTGTTTTTGCCACGGGATGTTAGGATTTACACAAGCTTCAGTCTGGATCCAGAACACCTGAGAAGAGATGATGCCAACCCCTCAGAGGACCTCAGATGATGCCAACCCTGAAACAGCATACAGAACTACCACATTTTGCTATAAGTTTGATTGCATCATATAATAATTGCTGTTAATAGTGTTCATCGTCTGTTTGATTATGTCTTTAATTGATTTTTCCGTACATTTCTGCCATATGTACATTAACTGACAGTCACCACTGATAAGCTACCACTAAATATTGTAGAAACTTAATTTGCTGTAAAGTTGCTTTGCAACGATTTGTATCGTGAAAAGCGCTGTACAAATAAACTTGAATTGAATTGAATTACAAATGATAACATTCAGAGAACAGGTGAGTTTTAAGTATTGATTTAAATTCAGAAATATTATTGACACAGCGGAGAGAATTCCATAGTTGTGTGCATCAACGCTGAATGATCTACCCCCCCACTGAAGTGAGGCGATACAGAGGGATACTGAGAAGACTAGAAACAGAGGAGCGTAGTGAGCGAGTTGGGGTGTAAGGGAGGAGCAATTCACAGAGATACTTATGAGCCTGTTAGTTAATATGAGCCTGAAAGGAGAGAGATGAATCGAAAATAATACCTGGATTTTTAACAGTACAAGATGATTTAAGTTGTGTGAGTTGGAGGTTGTCTCGATGAATGACAGCGAGGCCTTTACCGTGCAGTCGTGGCCTGGACAGGTATTTACATCCGTCCGGCGTGAGTAGATTTAACTGCAGAAAATCATCAGGAGCTTGCCGAGTTTCAGTGAGGAGAAAGAGATCAAGTTTGTTGTCAATAATAATTTCACTGAGGTAGAGAGCTTTGTCCGAGATGAATCGAAAGTTTAAAAGTGCAAAATGACGATGTGAGGCATTCAAATGAGATGAAGAGGTAAGTTGCCGATAGCGCTGCATAGAGTTGCTGGCAGGCGATGGTAGAGCATCGGGCTTGGAGCGAAGAAAACCCGTAAAGTTTATCTGGTTACTGTGATAACCAGAGGTCTGTTCTGTCCTTTTGGGGTTATTTGCATTTCAGGGGAAGGGTCCATCGACCCTCATAGTTGGCTTGTTGGTTGGGTGAGGGGTGTTAGGGATTATTTGTTAAATATAACAAATAATTGTTACATTGTTACATCCCCCCTTTCGAGCGTTGTCGTCTGACGTCTGACTTGTAGACAACAGTGAACGATGAAAAATATGCAGGAAAATCAGACATGCCTCTGGCACACAAGGCTTGAAGGCCGTGGTGGCTCTCTGGCTGTTGGTGCCGTGGTGGATGCTGTCAGGCGGTGTGCTGTGGTGATGTAGGCTGTAGCAAGGTGCAGGTCCTTGATCTTGTGCAGCAGGTGTCGAGGCAGTGTCACCTGTTGTCCAGAAGAGAGTTGGCATGGGGCAGATGGTTGTTTGTAGGTGTTGTTAGCAAGCAGGCTATCGCTACTGCGATTTGGAACAGCTGGGTTGGACTCTGTAACAATGTTTGTAGATCGGGAAGAAGGAGGCGGGAACCGACGAATATTTAAAGACAAAACTTTAACCCCTTAAGTGTCACGCTTTGGAATACAGACCTACGGTTGGACTTTTTTTTAAAGAAGACAATCAGCATTTTATTGTAGAAGTGGAATCATTTTAAAATATGAAAGTATCAAAAAGTTATAGAAGTTTAAATTTACTGTAAATAAAATGCACTGTACAATTTTTTATTTTATATAAAATAAATATTTTTCATAACAGGTTTGACTCTAAAATTGCTATAAAATGAATGCCTTATGTCTAAAAATATGTTCCAAATTTGAAGTTGATATAAAAAAAATTGTGGTTCCTGTGAGATTTTATTTAGTCGTTATACCACAAACAGCCACCGGGTGACACCCAAACTCCATTGAATTTGTATGCATTTTTCTGTCACAAATGTCTACATTTCTGTCAAAATTACTTATATCACAAAATAACCACCAAATATGGAATCTTTAGACTCAGATATTTCCAACGATATGTATTTTGTCAAGATTATAAAATGTTTTGATTGTAAAATACCGTAATACATTTTAAATATTACACTTGACACCACCCACTAAGATTTTAAGACACCGCCAAAAGATTTTAAAGTACCATTTCCATGGTAACACAAAGTCCGATTTCAAAATGGTTTTCACTGTATGAATTTTGAGTTTTTAAGCTTTCAAATGATATCTAATTTAGGGTGATTACTAACAATTTTGATAGATTAAAAAGGCAATAAAATATATAATGGCCGTGGGCCCACCAGTGGGTAGGTGAAACATAATGGAACAATATGTAATTTTTCGCCACTAGATGGCGCGTATTCAAAACAAACAAAGAAACAAAAGCACAGTTTGATGACGCCGTGACTGGGTGTGGAATCATGGGAGTTGTCGTCTTCATCCCCACAGCCGAAGCAAACCGATGGGACTCGGGCAGAAATCATGTTCATGGATGACCTAATGTATTGAAGATTTATTAACGTAGTAGAATGAAGCCGGGTGAGGCTGAAAGCCGTCGAAGCGAAACGAGGCCGCTGAACGAGCGCGACACGCGGCTCGAAAGCAGCGGAGCTTTTATTATGCCATAGTCGACCGCTTCCGCTCCTTCCGGAAAGCAGCGGAAGTAAGCAGCGCTGTTTTATCATACTAGATACATTTGAACGTTCTGTTATAATGCTACTCTGTGCGGTCGTCACCTGTCTAATAAAATGCATAGCATATTAAAGCGTCTTTGGTGTTTCCATGTTTTCTACAAAACAAAACCGGAAATCGAGGGGTTATGACGTCATTGGCAGGCGACACAATGACACTATGGACACGCTCCGTGTCACTAGTTAAAATTGCTTATTTCTCAGGATTTAAACATTCTTCGAAACATTTGGGATAGTGTAAGTACACAAGTCAGCAAAATATATAAAATTGTTCTAGTGGTTTTTGGATATTTTAATTAAAAAATTGTGCCTTTAAGGGGTTGTTAATAATCAAACAAACAAACACAAAACGAAAGTAAAAGTGGCAGCCCCTCACGGACGACTGCCGCATAAACATAATAAAACAACAACACAAATAGTCCAGGCCTGGTCCTCTCTCGTCCAACACTATGGTCACTCCTCCTCTTATCCTTCCGGAGCTCCTCCGTGGGACTCGAGACTTGAGTGGCGCAAGTGTTGCTCATTATCATTTTTGCTCATTATCATTTACTCCACCGGCCTCGCTCCGTTCCCATGGCTCTCGGCTCTCGGCCCCGCCCCACTCGTCTCAGACTCTCACTTATGAGAGGGCAGGTAGTTCCGGGGGTCGCAGGGAATGGTTATGGACATTTTGTAGTGTGAAGATAGTTTTTAGACTGCCCTAGTGATGGTGGCAGGAGGGCAGCAGGTGGCTATTAGCCCTCTGTTCTGCTCGAAGGTCAAGAGAAGTCTGACGTTTGCGGTGTCGCTTTACTCTTGTGGCAGCACCGACTTGATCTTGCCTGAGTTGTGTTGGGAGAGCTTTCACTGTTGGACTTGTGGGCCCGTTGCTCCATCCAGTGTTGTCTGGCTGCATCTGGGATGTTGGTTGGTTTACAGGATGCAAACCCCAAATTCGCTTCTTGCAGAACTTCCTTGATTCTCCTTGGAACAACAACTTAGCTTAAAATGAATGAATTATTTTAACTCGTTTATCTTAGATTATAGACCGACTGCAACCAATTTATCCACTACCGCAGCCCTCAACGAGCCCAACAACGTGAGGGAATGAGCTCCAACACGTTCCCCTAACTTTTCAAAGTCTGTGGTTAAAGCGCCACTTAGTGGTAAAAGGCAGCAAAAACTCAATTCTAATAAAGTATTATTCTGGTTGAGTACCATCTGTATATGTGTAAGCATCAAGAACATTTTGATTCTCCATTTCATGGCCCCTTAACTTCCATTTGTGTTATTAGTTAGTCTTGATGACTGCAGTAGATAAAATCTTGTTGAATTGGCATCAAAACTGCTAAGACACACACTAGATCAACTCACAAAGTCCTGGTCGTGGTTGTTGGCGAAGAACAGCTGCAGTCGTGAGGTCCAGTCATCTCTGCGCCTCAGGAGGCCGAAGACGTTCCTGGTGCAGCACATGTAGCAGTTCCAGGGGTCTTCACGAATAGCGGCCTGTGCGGATCCGGCCCCGACGAGCAGATCGACACACTCCACGCAGTAACACCTACACAAACATAGAGTTACACCTCACAGATCTCTCTCAGATACCGAACAAGGCCACACACTCTCACCTGCAGCAGTTGTTGTTCCCACACATGAGCACTTCTCGTCCTCCACAGCAGATGCTGCAGTACGACTGATAACCGTCATCGTCGTACTGATACGCGCACTCCAGAAAACAGTTCTGTGGGGGAGGAGAACACCACCTCAAGCACCAATCAGAAGTCAGAACAGGCTTGATTGACAGGTGTGCATGTGTACCTTGCAGCTCTGGCACATGGCTCCGACAAACAGAGGATGCTCTAGTGATACGTTTTGACTTCCACAGGAAATACAAATATCTGCACACAAAACAACTCCATGGTGATGTTTGCAATAGCATGCGACTGTACCATATTATTTATGCAGTATGCATACTGTGCACAGTATGCACGTTTTAAACTATGACACACTGACCTACTACGTTTGCCAAAATATGCAGTATACAGTCTACTTTCAGGACTTGTGCAAAAATCTGATCATGTTTTTGGTCATATTTATGCAGAAATACAGAAATTAAAAAAGCTAATTATATTATTATGATATTATATTTAATAGTACAATTACATTTCTCATTCATATTATAATTTAATAATTTATTATAATTTTTTATTCATTTAAATATATTTTCTTTATTTTTACAGATTTGTTTTCTTTTTAACTTAAAAAATGTGTTATTTTATAGTTTCGATGACTGTAGTAGATTTTTTTAATGTTGTCAAATGTATGTGTTAACTTTTGGAAAACATACAGTATATATTCTTTGTTTTTAATTCAAAGGTCACATTCAACAGCAAACTCACCTTCAATATTGCGACACTTTTGTCTGACTTCATACACGAGTCTCTCTGAGCAAAACAAAACACAGCGTCAACAATCACTGCTGTTCTAGCAGGAACAGCATATGAGAAATATGAGGTTTGCTTTGGCACATATGTGCTTGTGTGTGTGTGTGTATGAGATACCTCGGGTTCCTTCATCAATAATCTCTTTGATTTTGGGTTTCTCGACACTGTTCTTCCTGGGTTTCTTGGCAGGGGGCGGAGCCGTGTACGCAGCGGCCTCAGGCTCCACCCACATCTCTGGATACACCTCAGTATACGGGTTCCGCTCCGCTAGAGGACACACAGAAAATACACAAACAATTCTCTTTAATATCGCAATTGTTTCTCTTAGACAGCAATGAAATCTACTGGAGATCAAAAGTATTTTGCTTCTCATGTTTCTGTTGAGAATAAGACCTCAGGAATTCAGATTTTGTCTCCTACAAGGTTTCGGAAGAGATCTCAACAATGTCTCAATCTGTGCTCACAATCAAAAAAGTCTCTAAATGACTCAGTCATTTCTCAACAAATTCTTTCAAGGCCAAATTATCAGGTCTATGATATCCAAAAAGTTATTTGAGCAACAGAATAAATAATAAATTAAATTAAACAAAATAACATTACAATTAAATTATTTTTAA